CAAATCAAGCATATTATTGAATCAGCTCTCTCATATCTATCAAAAAGAGAAAGAAGACTGAACAGAGAATGAAGAAGAGGAGAGGGAAGATCGTGATTCTTTGGAGTATGGCGGGTTAGGCATTGGCAGCAGCATGTAGGGAGCGGGGTGGGGCGGCGATCCTCCTCTCTCATTCTCTCAGCCCTTCTCTCTCTCTCTCTCTCTCTCTAACTCTCTGAAACCCAGAAATTTGAATTTTGAATTTTTTTTTTCAAAATTATTCAGGCTAAATCTCAGCCATTGACAGTTAAGTGGGACACGTGTCAGCAATCTGTGGATCACTGTAGGAGATCACTCTAGGAATTCACTCTAGAGGATCCCAACGCCTCCACTACCTTTTCTAATCGTCGCCAGCTTAACCTTTCACTTTAGCTTTCTTCTGCCTTTCCTAGCCCTTCTTCCACCTTTAACCTTATTGTCACTATTACTGTTACTTCCATCATCTTTTAACCCTTTCCCTCCCATTGATGCTCACCATCGTTATACTTAGAGATTACCTAGCCTTTATTTTCCTAACCCCTTCGTTTAGTACTTTCCGATACCATCACAATACCTCCAATCCCTCTTTTTAAATCCTAAATTTGTAATCATTCTCTATCGCAAGCTCGTGCAATCCCCAAATCTCTCTTATCTTATTACGATTTCTCTTTTCTTTTTGATCATCATTAACTTTGCTAAAGTGGTAGCAATAGAAAAGGGCTAAGATGGGAAGGAATTATAGATAGGTAGTAGTAGTAGTGATAATAAAAAATGGGATTAAATGTAATTTCTTGTTTTAGCTATATACTCAGTGTCATAACCCAAACCCGCCCTTATAGGTTTAGCGCCGTAACTGGCCAGCGATCCTGGAATTACCAAGGCCTCTGAACAGATTAAGCAAAGTTAAAGGACTAGCGAAAGTAAATATCAAATACAATATCCATAGAGTTGTGCAGACATACATGTGATAGAAAATTTAAAACTTATATACATGTATGTGACGTCAACCTCGCGTCACCATATAAACAGATAAACAAGAAGATATGTTCAGACTTTAACAGAAGAAATACAAAAATGTCTTAAACATTGTTAAAAAAAAAAAAAAAAACTTGACCACTTCTCAAATTGCAACCTCCTCGGGAGGCGCAGTGGTTGGCTGACAGAACAAATTTTTAGGCGATCATCATACGCCTAATCACCTATATACATAAATAATACAGTGAGCTGGAGCCCAATGAATAATAATAGAGTAAAGGTTTTAATAAATGACGTACATAACATATTTCATAAATTAAAATTCAAATCAGAAATAGATTCATATTCATATTAAAAAATCAGAGATAATCATACGTGGTATATCCATTAACGCTAGCAAAACAGTTGACCCATTTATATGGGACGTAAACAGTTGGCTCATTTGAACAAAAACATTTTTAAGGATCCATAACAGTTGACCCATAATCACATGAGACGTACAGTTAACTCATGATTACACGAGACTTTTAGTTGACTCGTGATTACACGAGACATATACAGAGCATATAATAGATATCACTTGATGCTAAGGATGTCATGAATACATTTCAGAAATCTGGACAATCATTCATCCGTACAGAAAATAACATTTCAGAAAATAGATTATTTCATATCATCATAAAATAATTAAAGTCAAACATAGCTTTACAGAGTTATTACTCACAGATAGCTCCAGTAGCAGAACAGGCAGATCAAACAGTTTATGGCGCGTGACCTATACAAACACATAATAGATACACATTGAAACATACACTTGAAAAATACATAATTTATTTATTTTTCTATCTTGGTGTCTTTATAATCCTTATTCTTACTATTATCTCTCAATTAAGGCTTAGAAATGCCTAAGATACAATGAGGATGTCAAAATGCACTTGAAAACACTTTGCACAACTTTGGTCACTTGAGCGGACCCCTTGGTCTGCAAAACTTCTAAGAGCTCTCATTTTACGCTCGAGTGCAACTTTGGTCACTCGAGCCAAAGCTAAAAAATAAGAGTGCTCACTCGAACACAAATTCTGATGCTAACACCAACCCTCAACTCTGCAAAAGTACTAGGAACTCGCATTTTTCGCTCGAGCGCAGATTCCACTGCTCGAGCGAATAATGCAAATTATGAAATTTCCAAATTGTTTTCCAAATTCCAAAACTCAAATTCAAAGCTTCAAAACACATCCTTTTAGGCCCAAACCTTGAGAAAACATGTCTAAACTTGTATAACATCATGAATTAAAGATCATTTCACAAAATCAAGGCCCAAAAGCATGCCAGTTGTTCAGACTCAAACTTGGAAAACATAGCATGCATAAGTCGATATGAACTTCAACCTTCCAAAATATGATCAAATAAAGTAAAATGATGGAAAAACATGATAAATTCCTAAAACTAAAGTATAATTGTTACATACATGAGAGAATTTCTTAGAAAACATGCTAAAAATGCAATGATTTGCACATACATGCATAGTTTACTCTTCTTTTTTACTTCCTTAGCTCAATTAATGTCTTTAACCTGTAAATTCTCTTGAATCCATACGTTAGTTAACTCAATTACATAAGGCTTGAATTCTTACCTTATGTGTTCAATTGAGTTCTAGATGACTAGTTTTTGGAGTCTTCAAGCTAATTCTCCTAAAAGTTTTCTCAATTCTCTACAATTCCCTTTCTTAAGCTTGAATTCACTCTCTTTCTAGGCTTCTCTCTCTCTCTCTCCCCCACGTTTTGTCTCCACAAGATAAGAAATGAGAGTATAGAATGGTCTTAAGTCTACAGTTTGTCTTATATAGGCTTGATTAAGAAATTTAATTAAGCTAGATTTACAATTAATCAATTAGTATTATTTTATTTTAATTATTTGGTTCCGAATCAGATTTCAATTAAACCTACCATAAAATTCTAAAAAATTTAAATTACACATTAACCTAGGCAATTTTGTGATCGGATGCTAGTAAGGCCTTCAATTTGCATACCGAAACATAAGTATGGATAGATATTCCTACGTCAGACAGATAAAAATACAATTAATATAATTCATACACAATAAACTTAGAATTTCTTCTTAATTACTCATTAGGCATTCTTAATCATGGTTTAAGACTAATCACAATTCGGGATTGTTACAAAGAGGCTGAGAAAAGTAGAGAAAAACTAATATAGAGTTGGCGGCAACTAAGAATAGTTAAAAAGAAATGATCGGCGGCTTGTGAAGGTGAAATAATAAGAGACCCCTAATAGCGTGTATATTGTACGTACTTTTGTCACACATTATCTTGGTATATATTATGCATTTTTGTGATAAATGTCATATAATTTTTTGATATAATTGTGATAATTTACATTAAAAAACAAAGTTAGTAATTTTTATATAAATTTACACATTTTGCGGTTTATTTTTTTATTTAGAAATATGTGATATTATCACAAAATATATAATTTTATTTATGAATTATATTTTGTTTGTATTATTAAATTATAAAAAATATATACATATTCAAAGAATTTTCCAATAAGATATATATCAATTTTTTATTGTTACAAGAACTATACAATCGAATCAAATCAGACAAATTTTTAATGAATCGCTTCTAGAAACTAAAATAAAGCATCCGTTTGAGAAGTAGGTTAGGAGGTTGACTTTTTAATTTTTTGACTTTTTTAACTATTTTAGTTTGGGTTAAAAAACTTAATTTGACAAGAATTTTTTGACTTTTTTAATTTTTTTATAAAAGAAGAGTGTAATGATTATGAATTAGATGTGATATTTTATTTGTTATAATTAAAACAACTCATTTTATTTTTGTGCCAAAAAAAAAAAAACTTTTGCCAAACGTAACCAAAATAAGATAAAAATATTCTTTGTGAGTTTCGAAAACCGCACTCCAAACGGCCGACCAATGAGATCGTTGAGAAACGAAATCGTTTTCCTTTTGTAAGAGGGGCTAATTTGAGCCCACTAAATTATTTAGGCCCAATAGCCCAAGATTAGTGGGCCCGAATTTATCGCAAGTCCAAGAATCGGTGGGCCCAGATTTATCGCCATCAAGCGGATTGAATCGCTCTAAGCCTCGAAAGGGTTCGGATCCATGAACCTAGAGACTTACTCGGACCCAGACTCGAAAGGGTATTAAGCCATTTTGCGGTTTATTTTTTTATTTAGAAATATGTGATATTATCACAAAATATATAATTTTATTTATGAATTATATTTTGTTTGTATTATTAAATTATAAAAAATATATACATATTCAAAGAATTTTCCAATAAGATATATATCAATTTTTTATTGTCACAAGAACTATACAATCGAATCAAATCAAACAAATTTTTAATGAATCGCTGCTAGAAACTAAAATAAAGCATCCGTTTGAGAAGTAGGTTGATTTTTTAGTTTTTTGACTTTTTTAACTATTTTAGCTTGGGTTAAAAAACTTGATTTGAGAAGGATTTTTTGATTTTTTTATATTTTTTTATGAAAAAATAGTGTAATGATTATGAGTTAAATGTGATATTTTATTTATTATAATTGAAATAACTTATTTTATTTTTGTGCCAAAAAAAAAAAAAAACTTTTGCCAAACGGAGCCAAAATAAGATAAAAATATTCTTTGTGAGGCCGACCAATGAGATCGTTGAGAAACGAAATCGTTTTCCTTTATTTTTTTTAACTCTTGGGAAAGAACTAATTTCCCTTCTCCATTATCAACCTTGAGAGTGAAAGTGGGAGATCAATGGGAGAGCCTTGCCATTATTCTATTCTCTAGCCATTTTGCCTTCTTCTTCACCCAATCTCTTATCTCCATAATCTCCTTTGTTGTTGTATTCCTAAGTTGAGATTATTGAAGAATCTAAGCCTCTCATCATATTCTAGAGAATTCAAAATTATTCTTCAAGAATTTTCAAATTTTCGAATTTTCCAACTCTTTTCTTGACCCCTCTCCTCCACCTTTATTTTCCTTCAATCCAAAAACACCCATCTTCCTTACCTCTTCCCCCCTGTCACCCATCAAACCAGGCTTTGCCATAATCGTAACTCACTCTCTCAACAAAAAAATTACAACTGTTGTCTCAAAATCAATCACTCTGGCGGAGAACACTAGGTTTGAACCTCCTTCAGTTTGGATTAACACAAGCACACAAAACAACAATCATTCTTGCTGACTCCGACTTCGATATAGACCCATTTGGATGCTTATCCGTTTACTGTTACTTCGTTATCTATTATAAAGCTCAAACGCTTTCATCGAACCCTTTGGTTTGAGTTCTCAATTTTCTTTACTCTCATTCATGGAAGTCTGCAAACCTTCCTCACCGCCTTCCAAGGTAGCCCTTTTTCTCTTTTTTCACACACACACACACACACACACATATATATATATATATGGGTGTTAATGGGTCTGTGTTATAAATCACATTGTTCCAAGAAATCATTTGGGTATATGATAGTGTTTGTCAGGTGTTAGTAAAAATGTCTTTATGAAATTTTATTTTTATTTTTATTTTTTGGGTTGGCTTAATAATATAAGTTTGGTTGATGAGAAAGCATTTGCGTATTCTGAACTCGCAGCATTTCGATGGTTTTATACTTGCAAACTTTTGAATAGCTATACTCATAATTATGAATGATTCTAGTGGCAGAGTTTGGTATATGATACTGTTTGTTACATGTTTGTAAAAATGTCTTTATTAAATTTTGGTTTTTATTTTTTGGGTGGGCTTAGTAATAGAAGTTTGGTTGATGAGAAATCATTTGAAAATTCTGAACTCTCCTCATTTCGATGGTTTTATACTTGCAAACTTTTCAATAGCTCTACTCAGGTTGGTATGTATATCGTAGTGTTTGTAAAAATGTCTTTATTAAATTTTGGCTTTGGTTTGTTAGGTTGGCTTAGTAAATAAGTTTGGTTGATGAGAAATCATTTGGGAATTCTGAACTCGCCTTGTTTTGATAGTTTTATACTTTCAAATTTTTGAATAGCTCTGCTCAGGTTTATGAATGATTGTAGTGGCAGAGATTGGTATATAATAGCGTTTGTTAGGTGTTTAAAAATGTCTTTAGATAACTTGATTTGCCTTCAGCAGATTTCGGTCAATTGGTGTTGTATATGTGTTGTCAGGATGCGGAATCCATTTTGCATCTGTTGCTTCATTGTCCTGCACCCTCTCAACTTTGGGGTTTGATTTTTGTGGTGTTTGGTTTGGATTGGGTGCAACAGGGGAGTGTAAGGGAGGTGTTGTGCAGTTGGAGGGGGGGGGCAGGTGGGGAAGAGACGTCGGAAGGCTTGGGTTTTGAATTTGGTGCCTTTGTGTTTAATGTGGCTGGTTTGGTTGGAGCGTAATCAGCAGACTTTTCAAGGGTTATAGGTGTTGGTGCTGGTTTGGTTGGAATTTGGCGCCTTTGTGTTTAATGTGGCTGGTTTAATGCGCCTTGTTTGAAGAATAAGTTTTTAACCCAACCACTATAAATTATTTTGTTCATCGCCTTCATGGGATTTGAGACAGAGAATTATTGTGTTCATCTCCTTCATGGGATTTAGAAATTATCTTCTATTTGTATGCTCACACATGTATTAGCCTGATACTTTAAGTGAAATAAAACTCTCTAGCAATTTTTACACAAAATGTGTCTTTCCTTTTTTCTATGCATAATGCATTCATTCTTCTTTTTCATATTTATTTTTGGTTAGTACTTGCTTTATACTAAAAGCTTACAAATCGAGGTTTTTCAGCAGTCACAAAGGTTTGACTCCGAAGGTCCTTATCGGCTTCTTTATTGTTCAAGTAAGGGTGACAAAGAGGGTGTTATACAGGAGTTAGACAAAGGAGTAGAACCTAATTTAGCTGACTATGATAAGAGAACAGCGCTTCATTTAGCTTCCTGTGAAGGACGCACTGAGGTTATTTCTCTGCTTATTGAGAAAGGAGCTGACGTGAACTCCACAGATCGCTGGGGTCGCACTGTAAGTTATTATTTACATTTAATTGTAGAATATGAAGAGTTGGTAATGTAGTTATGGCTAACCAATATTTTTTTCATAGAAGCTCCTAATGATTATTTCAGTTGATAGTGTAGATGGAGCTATTGCTAAGATTGCAATTGGTGGCAGTTGTACTGTTACATTGTATTGGCATTCTAGCATATCTTTTAACCTATGATACTAAAGTGTGGGTATTCTTGATTTCAGAATTTCCTATTTTGAAGTAAAAGCAAAATAGAAATGTACCAAAACGCAAAAGAAATGAAGAAGTAAAGAAAAAATAAGAAAGAAATGAATGAAACCATGTTTTTCTTCCTCAACCTATAACTAATATATATACATAAATGGATAAGTTAATATCTCATGCTTTAAGTGCCTTTATCTTTCTAATTTTTCTGTGATTTGCTCATTTTTATTGATCCTTCATGTGTAAGCTTGTCTGCCAGTCCGTGTGCATATAGTACGCATGTATTTGTGTATTTATTTATTGTAAGTTGTAACTGCATTGTTATTCTGTCATTTATTATTCCTTCTATGATTTTATGATTCTTGACCTAATAAGATAAATTAGATATTTCGATATTGAATAACTATTGACAATCAGATAGAGAATCTTTATTAACTTCTTTAAGTGCTCTTTGGCACTCAAGGTCTGAAGTTTAAGTTTTCATGTTGTTTCCAAATAAATATTATTATTTTCCTTATTTTTAATGAACAAGATGAACATTATATTTTGCTCCAATACTTCGTGCTGTAACTCTTATGTTTGTTTAGCTTGTTTAAAACTATTCTTTGCAGCCCCTGTCCGATGCTCATGGCATTGAGCATGAGGAAATTTGCAAAATTCTGAAGGCACATGGTGGAATTGATCCGGTATCTCACTTTCTTGACATTAGTTTTGTTTGTGAACATTTTGTCTCTGAATTGCATGAAAAAAAAAAAAAAAACCATTCTACACTTCTATTTACAATTCATTTTGAACTCTTTAAATAAGAGAGGCAAAATAACCAACAAATACACAAGAGTCTTTGTTGCACAGCCTAATTATGTGGGGTAATTAATTAATAGTTTATGTCCTATTGACATGGGTTAGGATCTAGACTGTGGGGAATCCACTTTCTCAGTTTTATTTTCTCTCCTAATATATTGAATAGTCATATGGATTTCTGAACATGTGGGTGGTCTGTTTCAGCATCACAGGGCTCTCTGCTGTGACTTGGTCTGTAAACAGTAGAAGGTTAGATGAAAGTTTGCTTCATTCATTAGTTTATATCAGAATGTCGGTGGCTGATCATGTTGAAATTTAGGGCTATTTTCAATGGTGAACGTAGCATGTATACAAAGGTAGAATTAATGTTGGCCTCAGTGAAAAATGCGAATCTAACTTTGCACATGCTGCTGAAGAAAAGAGAATGCTCCCCTCTTGATTTAGAAATCAAATTTGTCCTCAAACTACATTCCATATCATGCTTAATTGTAGAACCAAGTTGCTTTATTTTTATTTTTAACGAGCACCGGGTTGCTTGTTCACTAGAATCCTTAGGTAGTTTCTGTAGACTTCAGTTTTGTATTGTCGGGCTAAATTAGACTCACATTTTGCAATGTGGAAGTGTCAATTTTGGTTTTGCTTCATTATCAGCATTGCATCTCGTTTTTTTGATATGTTAAAAGGCTTTCTGTTTACAAAAGGATAACTAAATACTTCTTATCCTTTGCTTGAGACAGATGGGGCTTGATTCTCTGACTCCATGCTATGAAATTGATTTTACTGAAGTGAATATGAAAGATGGAACCCTCATTGGAGAAGTAATTCCTTTGTACTTAAGGCATATTTTTGCTGTGAGGCCACCTTGAATCTTTGTTAATAAAACCCCTCTTGCCATCAGTGCTTTATGAAGGATTTGATTTTCTCTACTGTATCCTTTTGAGTGTCTTCTAGCCGAAACGTCACTTGCATTAACAATATAAAGCATGTCAACAGGGTGCATATGGTGAAGTTTATTTAGTGAAGTGGCGTGGTACAGAAGTAGCTGCAAAAACAATCCGTTCTTCCATCGCATCAAATGAGATGGTGAAGTGAGTTTCATCTTATTTTTTTGGAATTATTATTGTTAAGTCATTAAATAAATTAAAAATTCAAAAGAGTAAATGAAGTGTAAATTTTTTTCTCAAAGTCTTCATAAGGACTACCAAATCTATAAAATTGTAGTATTCTTCCATCAACTAAATAGGTCTGAACTACTAAAAGTTTGATGATGTTGGCAATTTTCTGCATTTCTTTATTTCTCATTTCATGAGTCTGTTTTTGACCATTTTACAGGAAAACCTTCTTGAAGGAACTGGCTTTGTGGCAAAAGTTGCGTCATCCCAATATAGTGCAGTTCCTTGGTGTTCTGAGGCACTCTAACCGCTTGATCTTCCTCACCGAGTATCTTTGCAATGTGAGCTTTGTCTTTTGATTTGGGAGTCTTTTAAGTTTCATTTGCTGATATTTTCCCTAAAATGGAATTTTAGGGAAGTTTGTATGATATTTTAAGGAAGAGGGGGAGACTTGATCCACCAACCGCTGTTGCTTATGCTTTAGATATTGCAAGGTAAATATTCTAGGTATATGCATTTGATTTTAAAAATTTTACTAGCAATTTTATGTTGAGTAGAAACTTACTTCAATGACTTCTCCAACACTGTTTTGTCATGTAAAGCTGTACAATATCATTCAATTAAGTGATTTGTTTGTCCCATCTGATATACGTAGTCAAGTCTAGATTTATACGGTCTATGGAATCATGGCTAAATTAAAAGCATGTCAATGAGATTCATCTTTTAAGAATTTAAATGGAGATCAAGATGCTCTGACCCCATTTAAATCTCAATTGATAATGGGCCTGCCTGTATCAACATGAGCTCCCTAGGAGATTATAGATCTCTCATGAACCAAAAATGCTAACTACCATGAATTTTTATACCCAAAGTTACTTGGAATGTGAGGTGTATGGTGTGGATTTGCAGTTGGTGGGATTTGGGTCACACATAGAATAGTTGTGGTTCATAGATCTACTATTTTGGGTATGTGGTATTGTTGCTCATGAACGAGGCCATAACTAGGTTTTTGAAACATAATCTAGATTAGATCTCTATTGATGCTTGCTTCAATGCTTCAAATCCTTTCCAGCCTTTTAGGAGGTTGAGTTTCATCCTTAAAAGTATGAATAGCTTTGTTCTAGTAACAAGGAAAAAATTTCAATGCTTACAATTGATTATGGAAAAATAGTTAACACCGGTTTTGCATACTCTATATCCTTCTTTGACCTATTTTTAACCATATATAACATACTTGTACTCAGTTAGTGTAATTCATTTGTGTACTGAGCTGACTGTTTGTGATTGCAGAGGTATGAATTATCTTCATCAGCACAAACCTCATGCTATAATACACCGAGATTTGACCCCAAGGTAATTGCGGTTCATAGCTTGAACAAAATCAATTTCCAGCTGTATTTTTATATACTGCTCCATCCACCCAAAAAAGAAAAAAGAAAAAGAAAGTTTGCAAGGTTTCTGATTTTTTGTTTTGCTTTTCTTTGTGCCATTCTCACAGAAATGTATTACAAGATGAAGCGGGGCACCTTAAAGTTACGGACTTTGGCTTAAGCAAAATTGTACAGGAAAAGGATTTTGGTTATAAAATGACTGGAGGAACAGGATCCTGTATGATCTACATCCCACCTCTTTCAAATTTATCAAAATTCTAAATTTTAATATCTGCTCTGATGCAGTTATGACATTTATCAGATCGTTACATGGCTCCTGAGGTTTATCGCCGGGAATCATATGGGAAGAGTGTTGATGTCTTTTCCTTTGCTCTAATAGTCCATGAGGTAATAATAGTGCATTTTGCAACAAATGTTCTAAACTTATCAAGTGTTTCTGATCTGCATTTTGTCCATCAAATTTTATTTGAGGTAAAAATTTTAAGGGCAAATTACACTGATAGTCCTTGCATTTTTCCCATTCTCATTTTGGTCCCTACACTTCCAATAGGCTCAATTCGGACACTTGCTTTTGGATTTCTTGTCAATTTGGTTCAATTGATACTGCTGGTTAGGATTTTTATGGAAAGTGGTCATTGAGTTGGTTGAGTACTCACTGAGTTGAGAAAATTTACAATTTTGCCCATGAAAGCATGACACATGCACATTTTCCATTAAAAGCTAACAGGCATGGTTGAGTATTCACTGAGTTGAGAAAATTTACAATTTTGCCCATGAAAGCATGACACATGCACATTTTCCATTACAAACTAACAGGCATAATCAATTGGACCAAATTGCGACAAAATCATATTTAGGTTAAAATTGAGCCGATTGAAATTACATGGATCACAATGGCACAAGGGCTAAAGTATAGAGACTACTAATGTAAGTTGCCCAAAATTTATTGTTATTTGCTTCATAATGTTTGCCATATCTCTTGCTGCAGATGTTCCAAGGGGGACCATCAAATAAGATGGAAACTCCAGAAAAAGTTGCTGACAGGCGAGCATATGAAGATTCCCGACCAATCATGTCTTCCTACATATATCCCGAACCAATCAGGATGTAAGTAATTGAATATTCTAACACTGCATCCCTTTCACACATATGCCTCTACACATTATTAACAAATATTCCTTTTGTATTCTTGCAATAGTGCACTAATATATAAACTGTTTGACAAATGCTCTTTTAGTACTTTCTCTTCTTCTTTTTTTTGTGGAAAAATTAGTTTAAAAAGCTAATGCATTTGGCAAATACTAAAAAAGTTATTTTTTCCCTTTTTGTTAGCTAAATTAGTCATTGCCAAAGGGGCAAAATTTTTTTGGCAAAATAACCAAAAAGGGGTCTTTAACCTGTTTATTTATTTTTATTAAGTGCATTTGTAAATAACTTTTTTTTGTTAAGAAAACATTATTACTAATCATGTTTTTTACTTGAATTAGTTAGTGTTCTGCATTAAACGAAAAATGTGGTTAGTAACCAACAATCATGCTTTACCATAGTTTAGGAAACAAGTTTGTTTATACACGTGTAATATCTCAATTTGAAAAAAATGCAACTAGGCCAAAAAGCCACAAAAAGTGGCTATTTCAACCAAAACCAAACAGGGATCACACTTCAATAATTCACATCATTTTCAATACATACAATCTGCAACTGAAATTTGAAAATAGCAAGGTCTAAACAGATTATTCGTCTTGAGTAGAATCATCGATGGCTTTTAATTGCTTTGCACGATCAAATCGTATTATCTTGACCTCATTTGTACAGGCTTCTTCGAGAATGTTGGCACAAGAATCCAGAGTGTAGACCGACATTTGAAGATATAATCGTACAGCTGGAGATGATCCAACAGGGTCTGCAATTAAAGAACGGCATGGGAGCTTGCTGTGCCTGTTATATCTTATGATATATGAAGTCATAGCACTGTGCAGACTCCGTTTTTTGCTTTATAATCGTTGTGGTTTTGCTTTTGGTTTGTCACAACAATTTCAAGAGAGAAAGAAGACTAAATCACAATGGTTTATCAAATGGTGAACTGTGGATGCATATGTAATTGTCTTCACTATTGTCATCTTTGTTGTTAACTGTTACGAGTTCTGTGCAAGTTGGTTAATGTCACAAGTTGTTTTATGTTTTATGTGTGAAATAGCAATGTTGGGGAGAGATAATGTTACTTGCATTTGTTTAGAAGATATCGTGAAAGGGTGAGTTGGCTCGACTGTAAGGTTTGTTGTCCCTGGTGGCTTGGGTTCAAGTCACGTGTGAAATAATAATGTTGGGTAGAGATAGATATGTTCAAATTTAACTTGCATTTGTTCAGAGGAGATTGTGAAAGGGCAAGTTGGTTCAATGGCTTATTGTTCAGTGTGTTCTTGATGGCATGGGTTTGAATAATAAAAACGGTCTTTCCATAATTGGAGATAAGATTGCGTATATCTTGTTCTTTCTAAATTCTATTTTAGCTGGAGTTTTGATTATAAGATGATTAGATAGGCTGTGTTTGTTTGGGAAAATTGAATTAGGAAAAAGCCAAAGGAATAAGTAATATTCGAAGTCTCATTATGGGATTATTGGATGAAATTATATATACTATGAAATTGTTTTGTTAGAGGGGAGTAAAGGATGAAATAAGATTTGAAAAACTAATTTTGACCATTGAATGGTGGAGGAAAGATAATTCGTTAATATAGTCCATGGTGGGATTCAATATGGGGAAGACAATTTTCTCCTCTTTTGCTTCAGCGTGTACTTGCTTTCCATGAAGAAGTCGGGCAGGGATGAGTTTTCGTGTTCCTATCTCATCTTAGTTTGCCCTTGTCCCAGTTATATTTATATGTATATAATATACATAGTTTATTTATTTTTAATATTATTAGTGGAGATGCACGTGTTTTACACGTGGTAATTTCTTTTATATTTCTTTTTATGATTTTTTTTTTTCAGTTTTGATTGGGAGCCCGAAAGCGAATTTGGAGCCCCCGAATCCCCTGAATCAACCAAGAAGAGAAGAAGAATGAAAGAAGGAAGAAGAAGGAAGAAGAGAAGGAAGAAGAAAAAGGACTGGAGAGGGCCAATCGGGCTGGAGGCGGAGGCGACGGCGGTCGGAGGCGAGGCTGCGACGATCGAAGCTGCTGCTGCGACGATCGAAACTGCTGTGACGATCGGCGGCGGCGAGCTGACGATCGGCGGCGACGGAGGCACAGGCGACGATCGGCGGCGAGCTTTCTCCCTCTCTCCTCCTCTTCCCCTCTCTTCTCTTTCTCTCCCTCTTCCTCTTCCTCTTCCTCTGCAGACTCGAAAATGGAAGGAAAAAAAGAAAGAAAAAAAAAAGAAGAAAGAAAATGCCTAAAACGACGTCGTTTTGGGCATTCGGGGCATTCAGGGGAAAGAAATTCGAGGCACAAAACATTTTTCTTTTTTTTTTTACGATTTTTAGATTTTGTAATAGTTTTACCTTTTGAACCATTTTGTTATTTTTTTTTTTGGGTTAATGTTTATGTTTGAAAGTTTAAAATGTTGAAGTGTTTGAATCTTTGAATATTTGATTGTTGATATATGTTTACCTAAATTTTTTTGGTTAATGTTTATGTTTGAAAGTTTAGAAAGTTGAAGTATTTGAATCTTTGAATATTTGATTGTTGATATATGTTTACACTTTAGGTAGTGTTTAGTTAAATAAAATGATTGTGGAATGAAATTAATATTATTAGACAATATATATAATAAATATATATTTTTTAATTTAAATTAAACATATTGTGCATGTGAATGGCTAGTATAAATAACATAAAACACGTAGATTTATGGGTAAATTATTGATAAATCTCATTTAGAAGTGTTTTAATCTAAGAAGTCTATGAAGTAATTTTTTAACCTATTTAGTCTCATGTATGTATAGTTTTATTCTATAAAGTCTTTTTTCTTGATTTATACTATTTTCTTGGACGCTTATGCCCTTATATTTAATTTTGATACCCTTATAAATATTTCTTGAACGGTTAGCAATTTTATGATGTGAACATTCATATTTTAAAATTCACATTAATAGGAATGTAAAATTGGCCCGAGGGCGGCCCGAAACCCTCCCGCGAGCCGGGGCGGGCTCGGCCCGTTGACAATGTGAATATTCACATTGACATGTTAACATTTACATTAATAGGAGTGTAAAATTGGCCCGCATCCCGTGGCAGCGCGAAACCCGCCCTCGGCCCATGAGCGGCCCGGGGCGGGCCTGGCCCAGCCCGTTGACAATGTGAATATTCACATTGACATGTTAACATTCACATTGATAAGAGTATAAAATTGGCCCGCGGCTCATGGCTGGCCAAAAGCCTGCCCGCCGCCCGGGGCGAGCCCGGCCCGGCCCATTGACAATGTGAATATTCACATTGACATGTTAACATTCACATTGATAAGAGTGTAAAATTAGCCCGCGCCTCGTGGCTGCCCGAAACCCGCCCACGGCCCATGGGCAGCCCAAGGCGGGCCCGACCCGGCCTATTGACAATGTGAATATTCACATTGACATGTTAACATTCACATTGATAGGAGTGTAAAATTTTCCTGCCGCCCAAAGCTTGCCTGCGGCCCAGGGTAGGCCCGGCCTGTCGTGGCTGCCCGAAACCCGCCCACGGCCCATGGGCAGCCCAAGGCGGGCCCGACCCGGCCTATTGACAATGTGAATATTCACATTGACATGTTAACATTCACATTGATAAGAGTATAAAATTGGCCAGCGGCCCAGGACGAGCCCGACCCGGCCCGTTAGCAATGTGAATATTCACATTGATATGTTAACATTCACATTGATAGGAGTGTAAAATTAGCCCGCGCCTCGTGGCTGCCCGAAACCCGCCCATGGCGCGGCCCGGGGTGGGCTCGGCCCGACCTGTTGACAATGTGAATATTCACATTGACATATTAACATTCACATTGATAAGAGTATAAAATTGGCCCGCGGCCTATGGGCGGCCAAAAGCCCGCCCGCCGCCCGGGACGGGCCCGGACCGGCCCGTTGACAATATGAATATTCACATTGACATGTTAACATTCACATTAATCGGAGTGTAAAATTGGCCCACGTCCCGTGGTGGCGCGAAACCTACCCGCGGCCCATGGGCGGCCCAGAGCGGGCCCGGTCTGGCCCGTTGACAATGTGAATATTCACATTGACATATTAATATTAACATTGATAAGAGTATAAAATTGGCCCGCGGCCCATAGGCGGCCAAAAGCCCGTCCACGGCCCGGGGCTGGCCCAGTCCGGCCCGTTGACAATGTGAATATTCAGATTGGCATGTTAACATTCACATTGATAGGAGTGTAAAATTAGCCCGCGCCTCGTGACTGCCAGAAATTCGCCCACGGCCCGTGGGCGGCCAAGGGGGGCCCGGCCCGGCCTGTTGACAATGTGAATATTCACATTGACATGTTAACATTCACATTGAAAAGAGTATAAAATTGGCCAGCGGCCTAGGGCGGGCCCGGCCCGGCCCGTTGACAATGTGAATATTCATATTGACATGTTAACATTCACATTGATAAGAGTGTAAAATTGGCCCGCAACCCGACCCGTGACAATATGAATATTCACATTGACATGTTAACATTAACATTGATAGGAGTGTAAAATTTGCCCGCAGCCCGAAGCTTGCCCGCGGCCCTGGGTAGGCCCGGCCCGGGCCGTTGACAATGTGAATATTCACATTGACATGTTAAAATGCACATTGATATGAATGTAGAATTGGCCCGCGGCTCGTGGGCTGCCCAAAGCCTGCCCACGGCTCGGGGTAGGCTCGTTTCGGTCCGGGCCCGAACATATCCGAGACCCTAGGTGTGACGACCCAGAATTTTTCCCTCCGCTCGAGCGGAAGAGTTAACGCTCGAGCGGACTTTTGGGGTTCCTAGTAATTGTGCAGACGGCCTGAGATTCTGGGAGTTGTGATTTCCCGCTCGAGCGGGGGAGTAGACGCTCGAGCGGACTGCTTTGTTGGTCTGCACACTCGAGCGCAAGGTTGGGCGCTCGAGCGGGTCGTCTGGTTAAGTTTGCTTCTGAGGCATGTGGGCTCATTTTTGATATTCTTCTTCGTGTATTTGGAATGTTTTTACCTTATTTTGGGGTATTGATTGAGATGATAATATGATGGTAAAGTAAGATTGGATCAAAAACTTTAGTTTGAATATTTTGTCTACGATCAGCCGTTACTCTTTTGCCCTTTTCTTTTTCCACACTTTGAATTTGGATGTGAGGTTGGAACCATTGGAAAGCTTATTTTCAGGGCTTCAATTTGAGCACAAGAACTACTTAAAACGGAGTCCGGATGGGAGAGTTATGCCTATTTGAAGTTTTGACATCTGTGCTGAATGCATGTACGCTCGAGCGTGAATATGTGCGCTCGAGCGGGTTTTTCGGACCAGCAGCTTTAAAAACGGGATTTTGGATCATTTTAGATGTTTTTCTTCTTTCCTCTTCCTTCCTCTCTTCCATGTCCGAAACCCTGGCCCCCAAACCCTTGAATTCCTTTACTTTGATCACGATCCACCATGGTTTTGGCATCAAGGATGAAGAACAAGGGAGGATCAATGTTTTTACTCGATTGGAACTTGGATTTGCGAAGGCTTCTTTTCAAGCTCACTCTTTTGCTTGATTATTGAGGTAGGGGTTCTATTTCTCTTCAATACTTACATCCATGGTTAGATTTGAGGTATTTTCATTGTATAAATGTATAAATTTTCATTTTGAGCATATAGAGGAAATTATGAGATTTTGGGAATTTTGAGTTTGAAACATTGAAGGTTCAATTGATGGGTTAAGGTGATGGAGTATGATCCCTAGATGTATAATCAAGGAGGGAATTGGGATGTAAGGTCATGGTATGAGAAGTATGAATTTTTTTATGGAAAACTTTATGTTCTTGAAACCCTAGATGAATTTGTGATGATAAAGAATGATTTTGCTCAAATTGGAAATAGAATCATGGAATTGGTGGGTTGAGTTATACGTGTACAAGTTTAATTGGATTTCTGAGATGTTTTGCAATAATGTTAAAAATTTACGAATGAACCTTGTTATGGGCATTGTAAATCATGTTAAATTGAGAAAGGAAATTAGGGGAAATGATTTAAAGAATTAATGTGTGACTTCATATGTGTGTAGGACACGCTTCGGGAGGAACAAATGCTCCACCAATGCACTGTGAGTAATAGTACTCCATATATATATTATTTTCCGTTAATAATCCTTGTTATTAGCATTCTGTTTTCCGTGGCAATATGGTAACATATATGTGGATTGAGAATTGGTGTAATCCTATGTGAACGTTGAAAGAGTTGGCTTAGTTCTGTGTTCTG